CGGCGGGCACGTAATCCCGTTCCACCTTCACATACTCTTCCAAGACCTTCAACAGCTCATTGGGATCGAACTTGGGGAAGCAGAGACGATCCGTGCTACGCAGCATACGCGCGCAATTGCATTCGGGACGGAAGAGGCGGATCTTCCCGGCGGCATCACGATACGCCTTGAGCCCCTCGAAGCACTGCAGAGCGTAGTGGAGGCACGTCGTCTGAGGAGGCATCGAGAGGTTCTCAAAGGGGACAATGCGTGGGTCGCCCCACTTTCCCCCAGGCTGTGACTCAATTTTCACCATGTGCGGTGTAAAAAGAGAGCCGAATTTGACGCCCTTGAGCGGCGGCAGTGGCGGGGGATTCGGCACACGCTGAATAATTAAGTTCTGCGCCTTAAAAGACATTGGAGTTATGTTTTTTCTCGCTATGAGTGTTTGTGGTAATCGTGTTGGTTGATGGCTGAGGACCTTGGCCGCGGCAAACGCAGAGTTAAGAAATATATATATATATATATGCATGCATAGGGAAAAAAAGGTGGTCACAACGACCGAAGAGAGGAGGAGGAAAGAAACACAAACACACACACACACACACGGGGAGAGAGAGAGATAAAGAAAGAGGGAGAGGAGGGCAAGTGATGGGAAAGGAAAAAAAAAGGCATCCAGATGGATACCCACACCACCGCCACTTTTCATCCTTTCCGCCCACTGTCCTCGCCTTGATTCTTCCCACGCCCACTCGCCCACGTTTCCTTCTTCTTCTTGCGCGTGACTTTATTTGTACTGCGGCCCCGGCAGTCCGCCTGGAGTCCACAGGCCCATTGGCGGGCGGGTATTGCCACGCCCGCCGCCCCGGCGCCACTAATCCGTCGCCGGCGCAAACCACTCCCTCATCATCCTAAACATCGTCTTCTTCCGCCCACCTGCGGCGATGTCGGGGTGGCGCAGCGTGGACGCGCTGAGGCTGCTGCCGGGGAGATCCACCGGCTCCACCTCCAGCGAGACGAGAAAGCCAAGCGGCATGAGCCACAGGAACAGCGTGAAGGAGGCGATCCGGTAGGACCCCACGGTCTCTAACAAGCTGGGGGTAAAGACGAAAAAGGAGTACCAAGAGACCACCTCCACCACCAACGAGGCGATCGTCAGAAGCGTCAGTGGGTGCGTCAGCGCGCAGTGCGGAAACCCAACCAGAAGCCGCAGGTACAAGACATTCGTGACGATGCTCACAAGGGAGCGCCAAAAACTAAGCTGATCCATGACAAGTATGAGCACATGCACCGACAAAACGCCAATCGCCATGACGTGAAGAATCTTCTTTGCACGCGTTGGGAACTCCTCCGCCAGCTCAGCGAGGTAGCCAACGGCGCAGGAGCAACTAAACACTACGGCAACCCCAGTGACGCAGCTCATAAGGAACGTTAAGACCTCGAACGGCCCATAGCGCATGTACGGTGGCTTGAAGTAATCCTGAGGAGTGTCATAATCGTAGTCATACAGCATCGCTAGCTAGTTATTGTTCTTGTTGATGTCTTGGATTTTGTCTTCTCGTTGTACTTGCTGCTGTTGTTCTTGTTGATGTTTTTTTTTCTGGTTTTCCTCGGTTTCCTCGTTGGTTGCCAAAAAATGTGCCTGACTAGGAGGCAAAGAAATAAACTGACGATGAAACACAAAACGCCAGCGCCGGACACGCCCAAACTGCCCCCGCTTCTTTTTCCTCTTCCTTCTCTCTCGCTTTCGATGCGGTGTACGTGAGGGAAGAAGCGGAAGCAACAAGAGGAAAATGATTGACACGACAACTCGGGCAGATGGCGTTCCAACTCTACTCCCCCTCTTTCTCTTTCTTTCTCGCGCTTTCTCTTTCTCTCTTCATTTCTCTTTTTTTTTGCTTTTTTGCTTTATGTATCGTTGCGCCCCATTTCTTCTTCGGTCACTTGATATGTATATTTGTTTTGTTTTTGCGTGTTATGCAGTTGTGCCTTCGCCTCTTTGCTCGCTTAGTTGTGCGGGGCGGTGTCGAGGCGCCTCCCCGCCGGGGTGCATCTTCCCCTTCGCGGGCCAATCCGCCTGGATCTCCGCCTCGCCGTCGTCGAGGCGCAGCGCAAACGGTCCGGGGGCCGGCCGCGGCGGGCGGATGGCGAGGCAGCGCAGCGTCCCCGGCTCCGACACGAGCAGCACCGCCTGCCCCACCACTACCGGCTCCTCCTCCAGGCACCGCGCCGTCACCCGCAGGGCCCCGTCGCCGCCGCTGTGCGCCTGCTGCACGGCGTCTGTGGAGGTGCCGCCCCGCAGGCGCACTACCATCGTATCCAGGAACCTGCCCGGCTCGGCGACGCCGACGAGGAGCCCGTGCTCAACGCGTGCCGCCACCCCCGCAACGGTGGCGCGCAGCTGCACGTCCCCTGTGTGTCCGGCCTGCCGGGCGGAGTCCGCGTGGATCGCAATCGACTCCACATGAACCAGGCTACGATGCGGCGTGGCGGCGGGGTCCTGGCCGGAGGAGGAGGGGGTTGCGTGGAGGCGGTGCAGCACGCTGCGCAGCACGGCGTCATTCAGCGCCTCCCGGTTTCGCAGTTGCTGCAGGGGGACGCGAAAGGAAACCTCACGTGTCACCGGCTCCGGCGCGTGCACGTGGCCGCGGCAGAGGTGCAGAAACGGCGGTGGAGGCGCAGGACGCGCTTCTACACACTTCTTCGCGCGCCTCGGTGCGCTGGACCGCTTGGCCGGGTTCCCCATTTTTTACCTCCGCCCGCTCTACTCCAGGCACCACCAACTAAATCTAAGCCGGGGCAATGGTCAAAATAAGAAAGCAACGTCGAAGAAAACGGAAAGAAAAAAAAAACAGATGAATACGCGTCCCCCTTCGCTTCCTCGTCGCGTCCCGTTTGGTGGCTCTCGCCCCGATTTCGCTTAAGCGCCCACTTTTTTTTTTTTTTT